TCCACAGAGAAAGGTCCCCCCCAAAAGCAATTAATCCAGGCTGCACAGGAACACAAGATCATGCCACCCACATGGCCTGTGGGAACACAAGGCTTGCATTGTACACAACATGAGGTAGTGAGGGGAGGGGGGAAAGGGTGGAGGGGGGGGACTTGCCCCACTCGCCCCACGTGCCTGGCCTGGCCACTGGGCTGCTTCTTTCTGCTGCTTTCTTCTAAAAAGTCTTCCTTTCTCTCCCCCAAACTCCGCCAGAAATGAGTCTTTGGGACCCTGCAAGGCCTTTCCTGCTCCAAGAGGCTGTGCCGGCAAAGACTCATTTCTGGCGGAGTTTGGGGGAGAGAAAGAAAGACTTCTGCGGCTTCTGCTGCTTTCCTTGCATGAAGCCAAAAGTCTCTCTCTGTCTCTCTCCCCCTGAGAACGGAGCTGGAGACGGAATCCTGTGATCCCAAATAAAGAATGATCGATCGATAGGAAACCGGGGTGGGGAATTTTCCTGCAGACTTTTGGGCGGTTTTCCCAGGGTCTCTGGTCTGCGGGATTTAAAATTAGGAGTTTGCTGGTCCCTGAGGTCCAAAAGGTAGATGACCCCTGCTCCAAAGCACCCTGAAGGCAGGACAAGAAGCAAGAAGCAACGGATGGAAACTTACCAAGGACCTGGAATTAAGGAGAGACATTTCCTGACAGAACAATTCACTAGTGGAACAGCCTCCAGAAGTTGTCGAGGCTCCATCGCTGGAGGTTTTCAAGAATTGACTGGACAGCTATTTGTACGGGATGGGTGCAGGGTCTCCTATTTGTGTAGGGTGTTGGACTAGAAGATCTCCAAGGCCCCTTCTAACTCTGCTATTCTGTTGTTCCCTTTCTGGCAATCCCAAAGCAGCCCTTTAGGAGTTTGGGTGTTGTGAGAATGGGGCTTTCTGTCTGGTTTCGTGCCAGCTTTGCAAGGAAGTTTCCCAAACCCAAAATAGAAAGTCGTTTTTCCCACCTCCTTTGAAAAGCCTCGTGACAATAAAAATGAATCACTCGGAGATTCCACTTCCTGGGGCGGGGCGGGGCGGGGAGCGGGGAGGAAATCCCAATTCTGGCCGAGGGGAACCGTGACTGGGATGTGTTGCTGTGGTGGTGTTTCTGAAAAACAGCCCCAAGGTCTCCTTGGCAACCTCTCTTGTTGGCATCTCGGTCCCCATCCCTGTTTCTGGCAAAGCAGCTCTGTGTGAGGAGGAGGAGGAGGAGGAGTCATGAGGACTAGAAGCGCCACTTTGCTTTTGCGACCCAGAGCCCAGGATTCTCACAGAGTGGGCAGGACGACTGCACAGATCCCCGAGAAGGAAAAGGAGAACGTTGAGGCTGCCTCTTAGTCTGTTGTGTTAAAAAGAGTCGGGTGTCAATGCTTTTCTTTCTCTCCCCGCCAACCTTTTATCCTACGGTTTTTCCTCTTCCCTTTTTCCTCCTTTACTTTCCCACTATTGTCATTTTTATTTGTATCTTATATTTTGATAGGCCAATGAAAAATTTGGAAGCATAGAAAGGAAAAAATAGATGCCCTCAAGGATGCCCTGTGGCCTTTGGGCCCTTCAGTGCCCGTGCCAGCAGCAGCTGTTCCTTGCAATTGCTTGCTTGTGAGAAGTGGAAGAAAACTCAGCCCACGGGGAATGGGTGTGTGTGTGTGTGTGTGTGTGTGTGTGTTTGTGTGTTGCTTTCAGATTCGTCTTTCTAGTAATTGGTTCTGGTGAGCGTAATTTGTAACGCCGAGTTTTCATATTCCGTTACATCTTGCAAGGCCAATATGAAATCAGAAACACGCGGGCACTCACCTGTTTCAACAACTTGGCATGTGGCCACCTGCTTAACATTGAACATTGAACATTTTCACCTCTTGGAAGGAGACTGGCGCACCGGCCGTCCTCGCCTGCCGGCTTCAGCTGAGCTGTTTTTGGCCACGGATCGGTTCCCAGAACCACAAACCCCTGCATTAAATTGCCCCGCCAGCCCCCCACTTTCCAAGTGATTGAATATCACCCCGATTCCGTCCTGGACCATCCGTGTTGCCGAAAGCTTCCCTTGGCTCGTCCCTCTGGGCTCCCTGGACTCGGTGCAGCTGGCATCATCCTAGGACCGTGATGGGGAACCTATGGCACGCAGAGCCCTCACTCTGGGCGTGTGAGCTGTCGGCCCAGGGCACACACACGGGAGTTGCACGCGCAGGGGCGGGGTGCATGCGTGTGGGTCTTGTGCACATGCACAGGGGGCGCACATGCATGCGTGCGGGGGGTGAGGCGCATGTGCGGAGTGCGCGTGTGCATTTTGGAGGTGCACGTGTGCGCTTTGGGCACTTGGTGCCAAAAAGGCCTTGGTGCCATCACTGTCCCAGGACCTGCATGGCACCGGCCTTCCTGCTGCAGACTTTGCCAAATTCAAGTCCAAACCGAACCCCTTCGGTCAAAATCTGTGGAGCTGAAGCGGGAAGGAAGACCCTTGTCCAAGGCTGCAGGGCGGTCGGTGCCAGCCGAAAGAGGCGAAGCGGTTTCCAAAACGCAGAGACCGTTTGCACGTGGCCAACGATGGGCAGTCCTCCACGTACGACCACAGCTGAGCTCAAAAGGTCTGTTGCTAAGTGAGACCATGGTTTGGCCCCATTGGATGACGTCCCTTGCCACCGTTGTTAAAGTGAATCGTTGCAGTTTGTTAGGTTAATCCCACGGTCGTTAAGTGAACCTGGGTTTGCTTGCCAGAAGGTCGCAAAAGAGGGCAACGGGACTGCTGGGACACTGGAACCATCCTAAGTACATGCCAGTTGCCAAGCGTTGGCATTGTGACCTCGTGTCCATGGGGACGATGCTGCCAGGGTCATAGATGTGAAAAAAGAAAAAAGGCTGTTAAGCCCCGTTTTCTAGTGCTGGGGCAACTTTGAACAGTCTCTAAACGAGTGGCTGTAAGTCGAGGGGTGCCTGTATTCTCTCCCCCCCGCTCCCCCCGCTACCGGGTGAGCCGGCGGTGCCTTTGGAGCCGCCGCCCTTGTAGTGTCTGGTTGCCTCTGGTTGTCTTGTCCACGGAGAATAGGAAGGCAGCCGAGTAGTGGAAACTTGGATCCGAGCTCTGACAAACATGCCGGTTTTTCCTTCCCTTGTCTCGATACGCGTTCCCTCTCCTTCCTAAATTAAAACCAAATGAAAGTTGTTGTTTTTTTAACAAATGGGGGCCCTGTGGCTGGCATCCTGCCTCTTGGGTTGAATGGAGAGGGAGGGAGGGAGGGGCTACATAGGGGCCCACGCCCTCTTTCCTGCTGGGTTCACTGGGCCCCACCCAGGGAGACCCCCCCCCTCCCTGCCAGCCGTTTGCCCCAACGCCTGGCCACTGGGGGTCCGTAGCCCAGCCCGGGAGGAGGAGGAGAAAGCAGCCTGCGGGGCCCACCGCAATGTGGACATTCCCCTCCGTTGTGCTGCGTAAAACGCGGCCAGTGTTTTTTGCAAGCCGACCCGCACGACAACCTCCCATCTGGCTTCGTAGTTTTTTCTGTGGGTGCACAACCCCCTCACCCAAGATCCGGGGCTGAGTTTAAGCATTCTGGAGCAGGGCTCTCAACCGCCAGAAGTCCACAAGTCTTAAAAGTTGCCAAGGTCGGAGTCCCCTGTTCTGGAGCCTGGCGTGGACGGGTCGTTTTTTTATCGCTGCGTTTCTATCCTGCGTGACTTTTCCCGTCTCCAGACAGTTGATGTAATCAAACGTTCGGCCTGTTTAATACCGCTATAAATACACTGAAGTTCTGCCTGAGGGTGAGCGTAGCTGAACGATGCCAGGCAGGATAGACCCGTGAGGGCGAACCTATGGCACGCGTGCCGGAAGTGGGAGGTCACCCAGAAGAGCCCCACTGCGCATGCGCGTGCCCCCCTCGCCAGCCAGCTGATTGCTGGGTATCTGCTGTGCATGCGTGGGGGGGTAGATGCACGCAGAGGAGATGCGCAGAGGCATGTGCCGTGCCGGGGGGGAGTGCGTGCCACATGCACAGAGGCGTGCGGGGGGTTCATGCCTGCATGTGCAGAGGCGCGTGGCACGCATGTGCAGGGGGGCAAAGGGAGTCGCGCACGCATTGCATCACGGGCCTGGCATGCACGCCCTCTTAGCACGCAACGTTCACCATCACTGGGATAGACCCCGGTGTTCCTCAACCTTGGCCTTGTAGCTAAGCTCCCGGGTCTTCTGCCCGTGAAAATCCTCGATTGGAGAACGTGATTGAGGACACCCAGCCTGTGAACGTACTTAATTGGAGAATCTGATTTATGACGCACTCGGGGGGCGGGGGGGGGGGAAAACAGATAACTGTAAATTACATGTGCCAGAGTTGGCCTCATACAGGTACCCAGTTCTGAAGGCATCTCAATAGCATTTGTCGGGTTGTTAGCAACTGAGCCAGATTTGCTTTTGATCCGTTTCTTCCCCTTCCTGGGGAGGGAGCCCAAATAGCCGGTCCCACAGGTGAAAGGTGGCCCTTCTCTGGATGGGGCATCGATTGCTTTAAGAGTTTGGTCCAAACTAATTCAAAGTTTCTGCTTCTTCAAGCCTGAATTCACCTTGATTCCTAGAATCGGTTGCCTCCAGGTGGCGCCCACAAGATCTTAGGCAATGATCAGCACCGCCAGATGGGGGCGCCAGGTTCCCAGAAAACGCAGTTCTACTCACACACGAACCTGTCATGGTTTACTTAGCGATTGAGTGAATGAATGAATTTCTTTTATTGGCCACGTGTGATTAAACACGGAAGGAATTTGTCTTGGTGCAGATGCTCTCAGTGTACATAAGAAAAGAAAAAATACATCCGTCAAGAATCATATCAGGCGCAACCCTTAATGATATTCATAGGGTACCAATAAGCAAGCCAAGAGTTGCTGCGATGCGTGAGTGGAGTCATTCTCTGTATCTCTGGGCCTGGGTTCCAATTCTGGTTAATGTTCTGGTGCCTCTGAGTCATGTTCCCTTGGGGATCTTGGGGATCAAAGTCCCCCTTGGAAGGCTGCTTCCTCCTGACCCCATTGCTGCATCTTCTCGGTCCAGGAACGCCAAGAAGGAAGGAGACCTGCTCGCCGCCCAGGCCCGCCTGAAGGATGTGGAGGCTCTGCTCAACTCCAAAGAGGCTGCGCTCACCACGGCCTTGGGCGAGAAGCGCAATGTGGAGGCCGAAGTCCGTGACCTCAGAGGCCAGCTGGCCAAGGTAGGCCGGGCACCCCTGCGAGGGTCCCCGACAGTCCCCAACGGCTCTGCTCCTGGGGGGCCCTTGAGATTTGGAGGGGCCCTGTTTCTCCTCCGTCCCGGGTCCATCTCTGGACTACCAGTCCCAAAGGATACCGGGAGGATTGCGTTTGTAAGGTAGACGGTGCCTGTCAATGTCCCCTTGTGCGGGAGGGGAGGGGTCCTTCTGCTAGGCGACCACCCCTCCGTTCACTGACCACGTCCTTCATGGGCCAGCTCCCGTTCCTGCACACTGCCCACCAAGGCCAAGAAAGGGGGCAGAGCCAGGGTTAACGGGTGGCCCTTATTAGGCTTCCAAAACTGGAGGCAGAACCGGGTGTTAAATTTGCACCTGGTTTGCCGAACCGGTATTTGAACCCACTGGCTGGGTTCCCCTCCCCGGAGTCTCTGCGTGGCCCATTTTCGATGCAGGAAGGTGCAGGGTCCCCCCTTCTCCCTGCCTTTCCCACTTACGCCCACCCTGCACCCTCTGTGGGCCGGAAAAGCTCATCTCTGCAGGATGGAAGTTGGGAAGCAAACTGACCCCTCCGTTCACTGACCTTTAAGAGGAACTGGGTGTGGGGACTCTTGCTCCCATCATCCCCAGCCATGGATAGGCCTCCCTGACCATTCTCTGTTTGTCTGTTTGCTTCTATAATTTTATTTCTTTCTATCCTGCCTTCGTTGTTATTATAAAACAACTCAAATTGGCCAAGAGACCAAATTACTCCTCCTTCCTATTTTTCCCAGCACAACAACCCTGCAAGGTGGGCTGGGCTGAGAGAGAAGGACCAGCCCCAAAGTCACCCAGCCAACTTTCATGCTGAAGGTCAGACTAGAACTCCCAGTCTCCCTGGTGATTGGACCACAGGCACGCAATCAGCTTTCATGCTTAAGACAGGACTAGAACTCCCAGTCTCCTGGTGATTGGCCCAAAGGTTCCCAGGGGCTTTTGTGCCTAA